TAAATGAAAGATTCTCTCTAGTTTTGCCAGGCAGTAAGTCCATCTCTTTTTTTTTTTTTTTTTTTTCATTCCTCTAATTCCCAGTTAGTTATCTCCTATCTGCCAAGCTTGAACAGTTTGGCACAGCATATGAACTCAACAATAGATCAGGGCAAGCTTGGGGAGGAGATGGGACAGCCCTTTCACTTTTTAAATCTGACTAACAGAAGAAAAGCAGGTTAGACCACAAAGGTTCCCGTGATAAGAGGAATTCCAAATCCCCAGAGTTTTCTCTGGAAAATGTCCTGCCTCCAGATTCCCCCTGGAGAAAAATCTCAGGATCATTAGCAAGCACTCCTGCTAAGCTCAACCTCAGTGAAGGTGTACAGGGAGAGATATGATCTCTCAGGTAACCAGTTAATTGCCAATAAGGAATGATAATAATAAATTAGCAAATACTAATGTAAACTAACTCGGTTCTGCAGCAGTTGCGTGGAGACAAGAGAAGAACAGGTTATTCTGGAACACATCTTGCTAGCTGATGCCCGCTGGGAGATTCACGACGTTAGCTAGATATGAAAAGGGCCCAGTAAACATACAGCAGGCAATAGGTAGCCCAGGAATATCCACTGTAGAAGTAGAGCCCTTGAGTTTTGAGGAGAGCCAAAGGTGGTGCAGGGATGCATTGGTTTCTACTGCTTTGTCCTACAATCCTAGGATTTCTTTTGACCTTTATAGATATGGCTTGAATGAGTCCAAGATGCCATAATAACAAGGAAATGGTTTTGTTTTTGTTTTTTTGCCTTGTGTTTTGTTTTTGTTTCCTCAAGACAGAGTTTCTCTGTGTAGCCTTGGCTCTCCTGGACTCACTTTGTAAACCATGCTGGACTCAAACTCACACAGATGCACCTGCTGGGATTATAGGCATGTGCCTTTAAAAACTAAACTCACTTAAAGAAATGGTGTTGGTTTTAGAATTAGTGATATAAATGTAGAAATCGGTGTTCTAAACCTGCAACTGATAATGTGTGATATCCATCATATCCAAGCTAACTTCATCATAGTTCCTAGGTCTCTATCGCTTTCTGGATCTGTTGTCTCTCTGAATGGGCTGTGGTTATTTATATTCCAATTTTTTCTCAAGTCATTGCAAATCCTTAACTTCTTTGTTTTAAGGAACAAAGCATGCTGAAATATTTATTTATTTCTTATTTTTCTTCAAGACCTAAGTGATGTTTTATTTTTCATATTTACCATAATATGGCAAAGAATTCAGACATTTTGTAGGTTAACTAGAAGCACTTGTTACGCTTCCTGCCACACATATCCTCATTCTGCAGATTCTTGCTCTGCTACATTACTACTTATAAAGCTGTTGCACAAACAACTGTGATAAAGCGCATGCACACATACACACTCACAAATATTATACATCAAAGATGTTACAGTTTGCCAGCAAACTGTTTCAACTGAAAACAAAGAGAAAATTCAAGATTGAGGGTAAGCCAAAACAAAAATCCTTTGCATCTCTGTAGAAGTTGTAGAAATTCCTGCCTACTATCCCCCATGCAGAATTGTCATCTCCAAATCATTGAGAATCAGAAACAAAAATTTGGGAAAAAAAAAGTCTCACAAAAGTTTAAATGTATTTGGACCACTTCACCCATCCTGAAGATGAAAAGAAACAGACTTTACCCAAATTTGCATTCTTCATAGGAAAAACATAAGTTCTATTTGCTCCCTCTAATGACCAGAGCCCCTACTGACCAAAAGAGCTATACGAGAATACTAATGTACAAAAGAATAACATTTTATAGAACACAGAAGCATCCAATATTCGTGTTTATATTCACATAATATAAAGGGGGAAAACATGGCATTCTCAAAACAAGTCCAGATATTTTCAGAAAAATATTATCAAACTAACAAACCTTATATTTTCTTCTCTTCAACCTCTTTTTTCTTCTGTCCTCTTTCCCTCCATCTTCCCCCTCTGTACACACACACATACACACCTCACTCATTTATAAAATTTAAAAACTAAATTAACTAGGATGCCAAAGAACGTGAATCCAAGTTAAAATATTTAAAAGGTACAAGGCACCACTAATTCTACAAAAGCCTTCTGCAAACAGTAAAGACACCTTCCATTTTATCTCCTCATATTTGTATACAAAAGCATAAAATTGTCATAGCTGGTATCCCAAGCAACAGCAGAGGACAGGAAAATATTCACATTCGGTTCTCAAGGAGGCTATCTCCGCAGTACAAAAAGTTAAATTCCAATTTTCAAGACAAGTGCTCCACTCCCTTTACCTAACCTACCTAATCACATACAAAGTCATGTTCTCATGATTTTTGACCTGACCTAGTTCAAAGGTAAGTAGGTTTATAGATAAAAAAAAGTCATCCTCAAGACTACGAGTAACTATTAGTAGAGCACTCGACTAGTATACACATAGCTCTTGGTTTGAGCCATACTATCTAAGCAAAAGTCACCTTTAATTCAGAACCAAGCCTAAATAGCTCAGCAGCAAATCTACATAAAAACAATATCAGGGTTGCCTTGAAAGGAGAAATACTAACTAGCATATAAAGAAACAGGTGATTAAAGCTATCTTTGTGTTGCCTCCATGGCAATTGAATCTTTTTGAATGATCTTGGCTCCCTACTTAGACAGTTAACATTCTGAGGGCAGAAGTGTCTTTCCTATTAGGTGTGTTTGGAATCTCCAAGCTAGCTGTTACATAGATGGGGGCATTGAGCATTATAAAAACACTTAGTGATTTGACTTAATGCAATGGTGATCCATTTCAAAGTGAAGTGCAGTGGAAGCAGCAAGGGGCAAGCACAATAGTTCTGAGTCTACTTACTTGTGTAATTACAATTTCAAATAATACCTATCACTGTACAAATAATAAAGGCTCTGTGTGTCATAAAAGGTAACACAGCAGAAGGATCTAATATGTAGTGACCTTTGGTCCCAATCTAAAGAGTAAGAATGTCACATATGCTTAGGAAAGGGACAACATCCAGAACTAAAACTGTGTTATTTGTCTGTTTCTTTTAAGCTCTCTTATGTCAAAGATCAAGTGTTTTATCTTTTCATCACCAGTAAATAGCAGATACAGTATTTGGCACATTCTAACCATGCAATAAATGCTAGTGGGTTGAGTTAAGAATAAATAAAAAAATGGTTTCATGAAATAATAAAGGATCATTTTAATGTCATAATCTGACTTCAGAGAAATTTCCATAGAATCACCTACTTAGTACATCATAGCACATATCATTCAGTACTATACTTGCTTCATATGTGAATTGTTTCTTGGATGGATTCGTTAATTAAAAAGGGAAGTATAAAGGTAGGAAATACATCAGAACATTATTATTTTAGGAATCCTACTGAATGATATAGAACCATTTAGCATCTCATATTGAATATCTGTCTACATGTTGGCCACACTAGAATGGACTTTCATTGTATTTATTTATTTATTTGTATCTGGAACTACAGACCATAGACCATAGTACCTTTCAAGAAACACACACTCGACAAATATCAGTTGAATAAATGCACCAATCACACCTATTCTTTCACAGGTCACAAGAGACGTAAACATTTTACCCATCAGTGTTTAGAAGCTTGTAGTATGAAAGTAAAAGATTTCCCTATTCAGAATTCCATCATGTGTGCAGGTTAAATATCTTGATGGATGCTTGACTAAGAACTTTCCAGAACTATGTACTGGAAATGCATATGCAACCTCAGCTTAACACTACACACCAAATGGGTGCACTTTTTTTTTTTTTTTTGACAAATAGGGTATATGGATTTGAGAGTCAGGGAAAGCATCATAACTGAGACTTTTGCTTTCTGAAATTTTTTCTTTTATCCTGCCCTTAGAAGAAACAAAGATATTAGGTAAAGCAAGATATTAAGTATTAGTTAAAACAAGAAATCATTGTTCCTATTTCCTGCTTTTTCCACATATTCAATAGACATCATGGCTCCCTTTTCTAAGGAAATTTACTTGATTGTAAAATGATTACCAAACTTTCAGGATTTAATGCTTTTGTCCATCTCCCTAAGCAATAACAAACCAACAAGGGAATATGTAATTTTTGCATTTTTCATCTTCATTTTTCAATGATCACTATGAATCAATAATCAGGTTACACCATCTTGTAGGTATTATCCACATAGAACCAGCCTAAATTCCTATTTGGTTCTTAGCAGTTCTGGTAATAACGCTGGACAGGTGAGGAGCTTCAAATGGTCAGTCATATGAATATTGTATGAAATAGCCATGCATTTGAATTAATTGTTTCCCTTTAGTTTGCATATTTTAATGGAAGCATTAAAAAAAACACAATATGGTCAAATGTCTGTTGGTTATTGAATTATTTTGGAAGAGTATGGTGATATTCCAGTGCTGGTGATGAGGATAGGGCAAGGGGGACCCAGTAGATGGCTATAAACAAGTTGTTAAGTTGGTTTCATTTTCTGTGAACCAGCAATGTGACTTTTTAAACAGTATTGCTTGAATCCTATTAACCACAGTCTCAGCAAGATAGATGGTAGAAAACAGTAGTATGTAAAGAAAAAAGCAAAATGGGGAGTGGCTTTTAGGATTCTGAACAATAAGAGGAAACTGGAATTTAGTCATTATAGGGATTCACTCATTTTCAACACTGCTTGGCAGTCTTAAGCTGCTTTAGTCTCCAAGCTGGTACCCCTGGCTTTTGAACAAGCATAGCTGCAACAGGTGAAATGATCTCTTACTATGGTGGGATATTATGAAGGCATGTCAAGGTTCAAATCATTTGAGTTCAGACTCCCAACACGACCACTTACACAAATATTGAATCACTATTTGTCCCATAAAGTGCTATTGGCAAATACTGAGTATGGAAATGGACCTAGACAAGGGATGCATCTCCAGTATGGCCTATGGTATAGCAAGTAGCTCCAGAAAGAGATCTGGGAAGACCTCATAGAACCACTTAGCTGCACTCACCTCAGGCAGGGGTACACCACTGATGATCAGATCTGGCTGCTGGGGACCCTGGCTGTTGAAGGAGTGATGGTAGATGTGGTTGGCAGTGGTGTTTCCAGTATTCTGGCTCTCCACATTCAGGAAAGTGCTCTCAGAGCGGCGGCAGCCCAGGGGCAGTGTCTGCTGGTGGTAGTCGAAGTAGTTGAGGGATGAAGTAAGGGAGGAACAACTGACAACATTCATCTTGTCTGTCTCCTCCACATCCCGAGGTACAAGGCGGATGTCGTTCTTACTAATTTTTTTCTTCTTACTTGATTTCTTTTGATGCCCATAAGAGTACTCAGCGATTCTATTTGACAGAAAAGGCAGCATGAATATATAACACCTTCCCAGACCATATACTGATGAATAAACATTAAGCACCCAAGAGGGTTGCACCCCATCTCTGCTTCAGCTCCTTATTCTGAAGCATTACATCATCGGGTTTCTCTCTGTGCTTTTTTGCATGCAAAAACCAACTGAGGGCCGTGAAGTTTTCATATTAAACATACTAATCTTCCACCAATCTCCCCCAAAAGACATTTTCAGATTTTAGATTTGTAATTTTTCATAGTAGGTAGCCAGTAAGCAGGGGTAGGGGTAGGGAAAGTTGAGCCTATGGGAGAGAGCATGAAAATGCTCAAATCTGAAGCTTCCCTGAAACCCAGAGAAAGTACTGGATAAAGTAAAAACTAAGTGCCAATTTAACAGAAAAGGAGATAGAGGGAATTAAGAAAAGCTCAAGCCAATGCCTCCAGCAATCTGTAATGTGGCAAACACCATGGATCAGCTTCCTCTGTGATTAACCTGATCACTCTTAAACTATGGTAGAGATTCAGACCCTGTCCTCAAACAGCTCCTGGCTCCACTCATCCACACCCTCCTCCAGGCCGGCCGGCCTTGGCCCAACTCCTTTCTACTTTCCACCCTTCCCCCTCTTCTCCTAGAGAAATCTGATAGCCAACTCATTTGAATGAGGGGAAATGCCTTTTTACCTCTTTCCCCTTAGGCTCACTTTCTCCTCTGCCTTTTTGTCTTGCTTCTCGCTAATGGGAGAAACCGAGATGCAATGCAGACACTTGCTGTTTTTTTCCTTGTATAAAACAGCCAAGGATACAAGTGATGGCTAAACAATTATTGCAAAGGAATTTAAAGGTTAGTGCATTCAGCATCCTTCTCCATTCAGGTGTACCTACAAGCAGCTGTGCTGCAACTGGAACATAAAAAGCTGAATTTAATTAACACTGACACAGACCCAGGAACGTGCACAAAAGACACCAAGCATTTAGAGACTTGTCAAAAGAAATACATAAAAATGTAGCCAGATTCTCAATGTCATGAATTACTTGCACATAATGATTTCAGCTCATTGTTTGAGATTCAATCCCCGAGTAATAATCAGCAAGACAATAAGCTTAATAAATAATACAGGTTGGACTTTACAAGTGAAAGAGTGTGTCTGTATTCTCAATTGACAAAGCTAATTGTCAGAATACAAAAAAGGGAGCTCAATTCAAGCAGCAACTGCAGATCATCTCACAAGTCTCATAAATGAATGCATTTCAGGAACAGGTCCTGAAGACGAAAAGGACTGGAAAACCATGCCTAATTACATAGTAAGATAGGGTTCCCCTGAACTTTAGGGTTCTAAGAAGTCTAAGCAGATGGGGAGTTTGCATATCTATTCATATCTACAAGGCAATTTTGCTCTGTCCCTATGATCTAAGCAATTTATTTCACCTCAACCTTTTGCTCTCTGCCATGTCTGACTTGAAATGATGGCAAACTGATGATACAGAGGCTTAGGGACAGATCATATCCCTCAAATCTCAAGACTAGGATTACATTAATTTTTTAATCAGTTTACTGACTCAATAGGAAGTTCTAATAATTTTTGTTTACTCATAATGGGTAAGTCTGACAATGCCCCATCCAATTATTCAGCAGAGGCACTCATTGTATGGCCTATTCTGTATTAACCAATTATTTAATTAAACTGTACTTCATTAATGGCAAGCCATCATAGGAAAGAGTGCTTTACAAAATACACATCTGGGTGAAGTTGGAGAGCACCGAGATTTGCACTTTCCCCCCAATTCAAATGCACTCTTTCTTGTTTAATGATCTCCCTGGCAAGCTCTCAGAAAGAGCTCTTACTTCTAGTCATATATATCTCTAAGAAGTGGTAAAGCCTTCAATATCTTTATTTCAAGCTGATTTCTTTTTCATCATGGGAAGGTCTTATGCATTTACTCTATGCTGAGAAAATGGCATAAAAAGAGTCTCCTCTATCATTATCTCCATATAAATAAAATTTTATTGAGCCTGCATTTTCTCCAATAAAAATCACCACTGGCATTTCCAGGTTTCAAAGGTAAGAGCAATATTAATTTCCATTTCTCCCATCTGAAGTGACTTGGTACTGAAGGAAAGAAAAGCCATGGACATTTCACTAGTAACAGGATTAAAGTATTTATGAGCCATTGCAGCTGCTCTTTTATGGCACCTGATTGATATTCATGTGTGGTTAGCATTTGTCTACTAACTTGTGTAATGCAGAGAATAGTAAACGGGAAACAATAATTGCATGGCTGTTACATATTCAAGAAGCTCTGATTCACAGAAGTGTGTATTTCAGATGGACAAATTGGACTTACAAGAACATATTTTGACTGATTAACATGCAAGCACAGATATGGTATAAGATACAGTGGATGTGTAGGTGTGTTGAAAGCACACACAAGCACACACACCTTGGCTGGAAATAGCACCATTCATTTTCAGCAAAGTAAAAAAATAAATAAATAAAAATAACTTTTTTTCAAATGTTTCAATGAGACACTGATGAAAAAAATACATGCATTATCCTAAGTGGGATTCTAGAAATTCTTAGACTTGTTTCTTCTATTGAATTGTAAGGAAGTCTTCAGAAAGAACCTCTAATGTATTAATCAAGACTTTTAAAATATAACATTACATGCCATTCAAATTTCTGCATTTTTCTCCTCTCTTCTTTTTCCTCTCCTTGTTTCCCCACCCCCACACACATCCCATACACACTTCAGAGAAACTGTAATACAATAGCCCATAGTGACATCCACTGGTAGGGACCAGACCTTAATGCCACAACACAGTCCTACATTAGAGAAAAGCATAGCCAACTCCAGAATATTGCTATTTTTACTGAAACATCTGGATGCAAAGTCTTGTCTCTCCTTGCGAGGCAAGTATATATTTGAAAACATACAGATGCCTGACAGAATTTTACTTTGGATGGCCAGATGTCTGGAGACTGGATACAAAACAAGTCAAAAATATACTAAAAACCACTAATGACCTTCTTCCCTGTACACTGCTTTCTTTCTTGCTACTACTCTCTTTTCCATCATAAACTTTCACTCTGAGCACTCTCTGGACTTGAACCCTACAGCAGGATAAGACAGTTGTCAATACTCCGTCTCCTTTCAGCTCCTGTCTGCAAAACACTGAGCTCCAGGAAATCAAGCTCTCAAACTGTGATCTGTAGAAATTCTGCTAAAAATATGAAAAATCTATTTCTCTTTAGCTCTCCCTCCTTCTTCTCCTCCCCTCCTCTCTCACTTCCTTGATCCTCCCTCCCCTCTCTCGTTTTTTTCTACCTTAACTTCACTGGAGACAGCTGTGCAAATTTTAAAATGATAATTGCTTTTCTGCTCATCAACATTATGTGACAGAATCCATTCAAACAGTAAATGATTGTCTTCCAGAAAATTGTCAGATCAAAAGAATTGATCAACTTAGACTGTCACAAACTTTTTACCCTCCACAAAGACTTACTGTAAGTATGCTGCATGCATTTAAGTGGGAAACAAAAGCACTGGGGGTTTTACACAGACACAAATACACACATTTTACTTATTCAAAACACAAAAGAAAAGAAAGAAAGAAAAGGTGGCTCTACCTGCAGTTGTAGGTCCGGATCTCTTTGTTGTCACGCTTGCACTTGATTGCCACGAAGATCATAGTGACAAAGAGAATGCCAGCAATGGAGCCCAGAGCAATAATGAAAATCAGGGATAAGTTCACAGAGCCCATTGACTCTTGGGCATCAAGAGCAGGGGACAAGTAGATTAGGACAAGGGCAGAGGCAGAAAGAGATGTCTTGCCATGGTCATGGGCCACCACTATAAGCTCATAGGAAGCCTTGGAGTTCTCATTAAAGGTGCGAGTGGTTCTGACTTCTCCATTGATCTGGTCTATTTCGAAGAAACCTCTGTCACCCTCTGTCATGTCATAGGTGACTCGGCCATTTTCACCCTCATCATAATCATCTGCCTTAACTACAGTCACCAAGTAGCCTATGCCAGAATTTCGAGGAATGTAGACCTCAGCAGTGCCATTGATCAGAGGTGGGGCAGTGATGACTGGGGTATTGTCATTGACATCTAGGATAATGACCCTCACTGTGGCATTGCTTTGTAGAGAGGGCAAGCCGCCATCTTTGGCCAGCACCTTGAATTCAAATGCTTTGGTCTGCTCGTGATTAAAGGATCGTAGCGCATAGATATCACCAGAGTTGGGATTGATGGAAACATAGGTGAAGACGGGCATATCTCGCACCTGTGATGGCACAATTTGGTAGGAGACACTGCCATTGAGACCCAAATCAGGGTCACGGGCTGACACAGAGAGCAGATAGGCGCCAGGGGTGTTGTTCTCCTGTACAATGACTTGATAGTAAGGCTTGGAGAAGTGTGGGTGGTTGTCATTCTCATCAGTGATGCGCACAGTAAAAGACTTTGCACTTTGCAGCATAGGTACACCGCTGTCTCTAGCCTGAATCGTAAGATTGTACTGGTCATGCTGCTCGCGATCCAGCCGTCCATCAACAAGGATAGTGGAGAAACTCTCATATTCCTGCAGCCTAAAGGGAACATTGCCCAGCAAGCGGCACTGCACACGTCCATTGAGGCCCGAGTCACGATCAGACACCCGAACCAGGGCAATCACGTATCCTGGGGGAGCGCTCTCGCTCACTTCCACAAGCTCACTATTGACCGACAGTAAGTTGATAATTGGTGGGTTGTCATTAGTGTCCAGCACGCTGACGGTGACTTTGCAGTGTGCAGGGATAGAGTTGGGCCCCAGGTCCTTGGCTTGCACATCCAGTTCATACACATGGCCATCTTCATAGTCGAGTGCACCGGTGACAGTGACCAGGCCGCTGTGTGGGTCAATTTGGAAGAGTTCACGTGTGCGGTCATTGACATAGCCATAGAAGGAGTAGACCACCTGGCCGTTGGTGCCTTCATCTGGATCACTGGCATTGAGGCGGATGACAGGTGTATTGGGAGGTGAGTTCTCAGGCACGCTCACTGAGTAGGTGGACTCACCAAACACCGGGTTGTTGTCATTGGAGTCAGTCACCTTGATGCTGAGGCCAACTGTGCCCAAGTGTGGTGGGTCGCCTCCATCGAGCGCTGTGATTCGAAAGCTGTAGTGTGACTGTGTCTCGCGGTCCAGGCTCTTCTCCACCACTAGTTCAGCAAAGCGGGAACCGTCACCCCTCGTCTTTATCTCCAGGCCAAATAGCTCATTGGGCGTGAGCTCATAGGTCTGCACACCAAAACTGCCTGAGTCCGGATCATAAGCACTGTCGAGTGGGATTCGAGTGCCAGGGCTGGCTGCCTCAGAGATCTCCAGCTCAATCTGTGCTGCCGGAAAACTGGGGGCATTGTCGTTCAGGTCCTTGATCTCCACCTTAATCACACAGATCTCCATCGAGCTGGACATGACCTCTAGAGAGATGATACACTTGGGGTTCTGGCGGCACAACAGGTCTCGGTCGATCTTCTGTTTGGTGACCAACAAGCCTGAGCTGGGATTGATGTCCACCAGGTGCGGAGCTGAGTTGGATACCACGCGGAACGCAGAAGCTTGTCGGGGATCCAGGGCGAACCCCGCCTCCCGAGCGTCCTTGGCCACATTAGCAATCACAGTCCCTGCCCGCTGCTCCTCTTCTACCGAGTATTTAAGGTTAATCAGGGCGGCCGCCTGAGTCCACAGTATGGCCAGCAGCAGTAGCACCGGCAGCAGGAGAGACTCCATGGCTGCGCGGGGCTCTGCCTGGCCTCGCCTCTCCACACCCCTCCGAAGCCTACGCCTCCGGTGCTCCAGCTTCCCGCCAGCTCGGGCCGCCTGTTGCGCGCTCCCCGTGGCCCCGGAGGCCGCGGGAGGAGTCCTGCCCAGGGTGGCCCCGCGACGCGCGGGATGAACCCGCGCCGGCTCCAATGCTGAGGTTGCAATGGACTCCTCACGGGCTCTCTGGGGACCCGGGGGCTCCCACGGGCCGAGGGAGTACCGCGTGGCTCCGAGCCCCCTTCCTCCACCCCTGCTACTCAGTTTTTCCCCTTCAAAGTTAGTCGGGCGCGACTGGCCGCAGCGGGGCAGGGCTGCGGGTCTAGCGGCACCTGTACGCCCCAGATGGCCAAAAGCAGCCAAGTCGGGATCTTACTTGGGAGTCAGACGCGGAAGGCTGTGTGGATGCAGCCTTTCAGACACTGCCCGACCCGCCGCAGCGCACCGGCCCTGGGGAAGGCAAGCACGTAGTCTGTGCACCTGGCATGCGCAAGGACCTCCCAACAGCGCGCGGAGCTCACTGCGGAGGGAGCTCCCACCCGGTACGCACCCTCCGGGCTCCGGGGTGGGGAGGATACGAGGAGCACTCTGGCCTCTTTGAGGCCTGGTGGGGAGAAAGGGGGATCACAGGCAGAAGTCGGAGTTGCTGGCAAGATCTGTAGGCTCCCAGGGATTTGGCTGAGCTGGAGGGCTGTCCCGGGGCTGACAGAAGAAGGGGGAGGGGGAGATGCGAGAGCTCTTTCTCTGGATCTGACGTTGGCGTCCGAGGGCGTAGGGGACAAGTCTGCCCAGAATCCGAGGTGGGCTCAGGGTTCCTCCTACAGAGAGGCTGAGTGAGGGTCTACGGGCGATTATTTCTCGGAAGTCAAAGTTACCAACACAGCCCAGGTCTCCGACTTAAGTTTACAAAAACGGAAAGATGGCAAATTGTCCAAGAAAATCAAAGTCCTGCTCTTTCCTATCACCCGGGAGGAGGGGGTTGGGAATGGGAAGGTGAAAGAAGGGAAGCGACACTGTACCGGCCAGGAGTGGTGGGGTTGCAGTCGCAGGCACCCAAGGCTTCTTCCCCTCCCTAGGTTCCGGCTGAGGTGTTGTTCCCGAAGACCTCAGCCTTAGCTGCTGCTGCCGCCGCCGCTGCCGCCGCCGCTGCCGCCGCCGCTGCCGCCGCCCCAGAAACCCTCCTTACTTCAGAAGCTGGGGTCCGCCTGGGCAGCTGCTAGGGTCGAGGATTTCTGTCGCCTCCAAAGTTTACTTGCAGGAGTGTCTAGATCCCATCCTCCAGGAGAAGCGCTGTCCGCCCTGCTTAGGGATTCCTCCCTCCCCGGCGCTCGCGCGCTAAGGAGGTCTCTCTATCTGTGTCGGGTTGTGCGTGGTTGTGCGAAAGGGAGGAAGAGTGAATGTGTGGATAGGAAGTGTGAGTGTGGAGTATGAGAGAGCAGAAAGAAATGGGTTTGGAGTGGGAGGTTTCAGATCTCAGATGAATCGGCTCAGCTGAAAAGCGGTAGAGGACACCACGCCTGGGCCGGCGAGAGGCTAGGGAAGTGGATGCCAATGCCTCCTTGGGAAAGTCAGAGGTAGTAAACGGTAGCTGGTGCTGCCGTCTTGCACCCGCTCGACTGTCTCCTCTCCTCCCCAGCCGCCGCTGCTACTGCTGCTGTTGCTGCTCCTCCTCCCGATGCCGCAAACTACTGGCCACAGAGTCTGGAGAGAGCTGGAGAGAGCTGGAGCTGCCAAGCCGGGCTACGCCAGGCATTAGCCAATCACCGCACAGCTCAGAGGGCTCCGGTCTTGGGGCGGGACCAAGGCAAGAGGCTGGGGGTGGGGGGAGACAGCGCGGGGTGGGGGGAGAGGGGGCGGGGAGTCAGGCTGAAACTTACACACTGGCCCAACCGAGTACCCTGGTCTGCAGAGCCCCTGCGGGAATCAGCGGGGTAGGAGGGACCTGACTGGAGCGGGGCAAGCATGTTTGGGAAGGAAGGGTAGGCCGGACTTGAGGTGTGCTGCCATTGAAAATGAGCACCTCTTGCATCTCTCCTTTTCAATGATTACAGAAAAAAAATGAGGATTTTATTTTTATTTTCTTGCTATTTATCTCCCTCACATATCTTCATATCTTAAATGCAATATTCTCTCTCTTCTGCCTCTCTTTCTCTGTCCTTTGTCTCTGTTTCTGCATTTCTGCTTCTGTTTTCTCTTATTCTCGAGTAGTGCAAGAAAGAGGAGCAAGCGCCCCCACTATGGTCACTCACCAAGCTCTTGGCCACTGTTATCTTCACTTTTGCCAAGAGCAAGTCCGCCATCCACCCAAACCATTATCCCTATCTCTCCTCATAAGGAAGATGATGCACTCCCCAGGAACACCTCAGCACGTGTGTGTGTGTGTGTGTGTGTGTGTGTGTGTGTGCGCGCGCGCGCGCGTGTGCACGCACACACACACACACACACACACACACAGGGGGAGGGAGAGAGAGAGAGAGAGAGAGAGAGAGAGAGAGAGAGAGAAGCAGCTGCAGCAGTAGCAGCTGCTGGTGGTCCAGTCCAGCTCACTCTGGTCGGCGGTTAATCAAAAGGGATGGGTGGCTTAAAGATTGAGCCTCCAAGGGTTCTGGGTATATTTTCTTGCCCCTCACCCAACCCTGTCTGATAATTTAGCTCCCTATAAATAAACTACGTTTGAGAAAAGCCAGCAGAGTGGACGCCACCGTGCCGCGCCAGGAGAGCCGGATCTGGACAGAAAGAAGCTGTGGAGTGGGCGCGCCGAAGTCCCTGGCAGCTGTGATGCCGCGATGGTATGGTGGGAAATCAGCATTCGCCTAGGACCTGATCTCTCCAGGGGCTTTCAGTTCTCCTTCAGTGGCTGTGGTGACTGAGGCTTATGCCATTACTGGAAAGCAGGAGGCCAGTGTGGCCAGGGCTGACATCAAGCTTAGCCTACCTTGTGGACCAAAGGCACTAGAAGCAGAGGACTCCTCCCCACCCAATTCTAAGGCTCTTAATTAAGATCCCTAACAGAAAGAATCAAAAGCTCCCTCGACGAACAATTTTACCAGTATTTTTTTTAGAATTACAGATTAAGGATGAGGAATAGCTTCTGAATTCACGGTTCTTGGAAAAAGCAAGCCTTCCTTCAAAATTAGTAGTCTGTTATTTGGAAATATTGGTTGAATAAACTCATAATTAGCTCAGCGACTTTGGCCCGAACCTGTGAGTTCAAAAATAAGACTCACTTTGGCCCTTAAAAAACTTGAACAAGAAAAGGGAAGACTTATTTGCACACATAATGGATCATTTTTTTCCAAAACTGCCTCTTTTTTTTGCATTTTGCAACCCAGCTGCTTTAAAGGATATATCATCCAAAAGGAGCTAGTCTAGCAGCCTTTACCTTGGCGGTAGAAGGAGGGAACACAGCTTCCTCCCACAAAAAAAGGAGTTATTTTGTTAATGAGATTCAGACTGGACCCTCTAAAAGTATAGCCAAGGCCAAAGGGAAAGCGCCTGATCCGCTTGGTTTGTGGGGGTTGTTTCACATTAGAATGCAATCAGCCCAGAAAATAATCGAGGCATCTGCAGTGAGAATCATTTCATTTTGATCATTTGAGCTGCGGGTAGATAGCTGAGAGGGTAGCTTCAGGGAGTCCCGTGGCCCGCCCATTTTTTTGCAGACACCGTTAGAGAAATGGGCAAGTAGTGGAAGAGAATGACAACATGGCAGGCAGCGCGGGAGCACCTCCTGGGCTGCTAAAGGAAGCGGTCCATTTGATTTATCACAGTTATTTACCTTTGATGTCAGTTAGTGGAAATGAAGGTCTAAAAAGGCATTTGAAAAGGGTTTCCTATCTGAACACGGGATGTGAGTTTCATGTTTGGCAGCTTTCTAAAATATTGCAAGGACTATTTAAACAGAACAATTAGCAGCATGCTAAAATGTTTGAATGCTATGCTTAGAAGCTCTTAGCTGTAAACTTTTAAGGCGATCTGTTCCCTTTAAGTTAAAAAAGGATGATGCTGCTTCCTTGTGGCGAAGGCTGTCAGGAACCCGCTGATCAATAAAAGTAAACTGGCGCCTCCACAGCTTGATTGAGCTGGAGCAAAGAGTCTGAGAAGTAGTCTTGGCCATTAACAATCCCCCAGGTAATGAGAAATGGAAGAATTACTCAGGTAAAATGATTAACATTGCCGTGGCATCTGAACAGATGCACACAACAAGCTAAGAAGACTGCGGACCTCTTACCTTAGGGAGTGCTAATAGAATGTCTATATTCTGCTGTCTTTTGAAAGATAAATAGGAGAATTCAATCTATGTAGAATGTCATTACCTTTGTAATTGCAATCACATTGTAAAGACATATTCTGCTTTTGCAAAGACAACCTTCTTTCCTAACCCAATGGCAACATTTCCCTGGCTTCCTGCTCATTGCTCACATTCCACGCACCCCTCTTATTCCAAGCAGAGCACCAAAGTACTTTCACTTACCAAACTGCTTTTACAGAAGGCTAAATGCTGAGAGAGGCGGCGGGGGGGGGGGGGGGGGGGGGGGGGGGGGGGGAGAGAGGAGGCAGAGGAGGAATCTGTTTTCCTTCTTTCCCATCACCTCCCCCACCCTCAAGCTCGCAGTGACAGTTACAACCCCCTGCACACACAATAGTTCTTCCATCCCCCAGCCTATGTCTATAGATAATCCTAACACCCTTTGCTTTCTGACTCGTTTTTTTTCTCATTCCAACAATGCTATTAAGCAAATGAGGACCCCCCCAACACTTTTATTATTAGGAATCTATTAACTAGCTGAATAAAAACGTCTGCATATAGATAATAAAAACAAAAAGTTCTGTTTATTCTAGTTTCTCTTTACTTCAATCCTGAAGGCAGCCCCGCCTCCTCAGCGTCTTTAGAGACACAAGAGGGCCATCTAGTGACCATCTCTAGTATTTTTTATCTAACTGCTGTCTAGAAACAGGAGGCTCTGAGA